AAAAAAAAAAAAAGAAATAAAAAACCACTCAGGGGAAAACGTTTAATGACAGATAGGATCTAAACTTCTGTATACTTTTGGAGGTGAGGGACCTGTCCACTAGCTTGATGGGTTTCACAGGTTATCTGGATTAAAACTTACTGTATTTTATCCTTTAAATACATGTAGTTTATTACATGTCAATTATTCGTCAATAAAACTTTTTTTTTTTTTTAAGAACTGAAGGTGGGGGTGACTGGGTGGCTCAGTCAGTTAAGCGTCCGACTCTTGGTTTCGGCTCAGGTCATGATCTGAGGGTCATGAGATCAAGCCCTGCATGGGGCTTCACGCTCATCGCAGAGTCTGCTTGAGATTCTTTCCCTTTCCCTCCCCCACTGCCCCTCCCCCCTCATGGGCTCGGTCGCCCATGCACTCTTTCTCTAAAATAAAAAAAAAAAATCTTTAAGAAAAAAAAAAAGAATTGAAGATGACAGAAGTTTTAAAAAATTTCTATACAGCATAATCCAAACTACATACGTCACAAAATAAGAAAAACAAAGAAATCACACTCAAGTGGTCGTGTTAGAATAACAAGATAACAGATTTTTTCTTTCTTTTTCTTCTAAGTTTCTGCTCAAGTGCACTTGTAACTTTGATCTGGACTAAGCTTAAACGCACTCAACTTGCAGGGAAAAGAGGCTGGTAGGGTCTGCACTTTATAGGGTCAGGCAGAGGCTACAGAGGACCGGGATGGGACCGAAGTGCGGGCAGGTGCACACACGGACCAGATGCTGACTGTGGAGTAGGGGTGAGCTGCTATCCTAAGGACTGCATGTGCACCACCTCCCTAACCTCCACACCCCCCTCAGAAGGAAGGTACTAACACGGCCAGGGGAGAGGAAGCAGCAGAGGCTGGAATGCAGACTCTCTGGCCAGAGGTCTCACAGCCAGGAGTGGCAGAGTGAGGAGAGAACCCAAGCCGGTCTACCCAGAGCCTCTGGTCCGGTCCTTCGGAGTGAGGGACTACCCACAGGGCCATACCTGCTGGTGGCTGCAGTGGGCGCGTGCTCAGGAGAGGAAAAGATGCGGTGCAGGTAGTCATTCAGCAGTTTCTCGTGCACGATGCCTGTGCCACAAGGCAGAGGGAGAGAAGGGTCACATGGTCGGTGCAGCTCCCAGACCGTGCTGGCCCTCAAGGCTCCTGGTCCCAGGCCAGCCACAGGGCTCAGAAAAGCAGTCACATTGGGTGTACTGCCTCAGGGCTGCTGAAGAAGAGCTGGCTCACAGGACAAGGGGTGCAGCAGGGCCTGCAGCTCATGAGACCTGGGGCTTCACTGCCTTTGTATTTTCCTTCTCCTTCCCTCAACACAAGGAGCCTCCTCCCAGCGCTGCCAGCCTTTACCTGTGACCCTGGACTTCTCAGCGTCTGATGTCAGCCTATAGCTCTTGCGGGAGAAAGACATGCTGGACTCTTTGGACGCCATCCTTCATCTCTTGAGGGCAGCCAGCGGTCCTGGGGGGCTGAGCCAGAGGCAGAGCTTATCTATTTGAAGCCAGCCAAGGGCCCCCACAATGACCTCAGTTCTGGGGTGGCAAGAAGGCCTGGGAGGTGAGGCCAGGTGCATGCACACTCACACACAAACCAACCCCAGGGTACAAGAGAGCAGGGGCCTCCCAGTTCCTACACAGGGAGGGTGGATAGGGACCCCACCACGTTCCAGGGCTCAGCACAGGGCCTGACAGAGAGTAGCTGTCACATATAGGTTTGTTGCACCAAACTAAATGTCTCAACCCCAGAAAAATGAGACCCAAGTGTCCAAAGTGAGGTGGCCCAGAGACAGACAGACCCTGTTTCCTTCTCAGCTGTAAGCCACACTGGGTCTAGCTCATATCCAGTAGAGAGAACCCTACCCCACCTTCCCCTAAGTGTGGCCCATCATCCAAGGGCTTGGTGCCATCTCCAGCCCTAAGTCCTGCTGACACCCAAGGCCAGGATCTTCCCTTCTCTTGTCCACAGGCCTGCTAGTTTTCTTCTTCCCACTCGCACGCCCAGCCTTTCACCCATCAGAGCACCACCCTCGCCCTGTCATCACTGCAGACCCTGCTGCTCTTCCCATTGCTGCCCACCCCACCCCTGCCATGGTGTTGCTGCAGCTGTTTCAGAAGATGCACTAAGTCGCTGGTGACTGCCTCAGTGATCTGGAGCTGTGCTGTCCAACCCAGTAGCCGCTAGCCATGTACAGCTATTTACATGTGAATTAAAAATTAAAAATTCAACTTCTCATATTAGCCACATTCCAAAAATTCAGTAACTACATATGGTTAGCGGTTACTGTACTAAGCACTGAAAATATAGAACACTCCCATCATCACAGAAAGTTCTATGAACTCTAGTCTGGAGCCTGGCCTTCTAGCACTGCCTTCGACTGCACTCCCATCTCTGCAGCCCAGTTCCTTATCTCACCTCACACAGGTCCTCTGTTCCCACCACACACCCTTGCCCATTCACAGCCCGCACCACGCCTGCCCCTGGGGAAGGTGACTGTCCCGCCTTGCCGCCTACGACCGGCCCTCCGCGGGCGTCCATGACTGACCGCTGCCCATCTCACACCAGAGGAGGTGCGGGGCAGATTAGACCCGGTCACTCATTTGATCAGCAAACCTTCCAGACATCCACTCCGGGTGTCAGGTGCTGAGGACCCAGGTGATAGGTGGACTTGACGTTGCTCAGGGATTCCCTGCCCCGTCGATCCTGTCCAGCCCCGCCGAGGGATCCGGGCTCGGAACGGAACCGACCCCATCTCGGAGCCCAAGGACGCAGAGAGCAGCGCATGTCTCCCCCAAGTCGCCCCCGCCCGGCCCCAAGCTCCGGAGGATCCTCCAGGCCAGCTCCAGCCCGGAGTCTCGAGTCACAGGCTGCAAGCCCTGGGCGGCGAGCACCCTCACACTGGGCCGGCTACGGCCGGGAGGGGAGCGGCAGGGACCCGCCCCGCTCGGAGCCCAGCCGCCCCTCACTCACCCCCAGCCTCGGCCGCGGCGCCCTGCTCACAACATCCACCCAGCCTCTCGTCTACGGCGCCTGTCCAGGGCCAAACCGCGGTCTTGCCGCGCACGCGCATCGGCTCGCGCCCGGCGTCCGCGCGAGGGGGCCCCCTCGCGGTCTCCAGCCGGGTCATTCCCGGCCTCGGCCTCCACCGACAGCCCAACCGCCTCCGACCCCCGCCTGCGCAGAAGCTCCTAGCCCAGCTGGGTCTGAGCACTACGTCCTAACTGGGAGCCCCAGGCCGCTTATCCCAACTCCTACCCGTACGTGGAGGCTGGGCCCAGAGATTCCCAGAACATTTGAAAGGCTACCGGCCAGGGTCCCTGCTACCTGTCACTCCCACGTCCATTCAGGCCAGACAGGTCGCCTCGCTTACCTTTCCTGGATTGGCAACTGTGACTTGGTGAGGGGAGCCTCTCTGGGCTCTGCTGCTGGGGTGTGGGCTGACTTGCCTACAGCTGGGGCTGATAAGTCAGCAAAAGGGGCAGGCTGCTTTGAGGCTTGGTCAGGGAACATTTGCCACTCTACAGGGAAAAGCTGAGGCTCAGAAAAGATTAGTATCGCACCACCCAGGGGCTAGAACCCAAGCCTCTGGCACCAATCATGCCCACACCACTCTCCCCTTCAGAGCAACGTAGGCTGCAGAGGGTCTCCAACCCCACCCCAGGGCACATCAAGTGTCCCCACTGAACACCTGCCCACTACATAGGGCAGGGGCTAACCGTGCCAGAGTAAGGGCCCTTGCATTTCACCCCGGGGGCCTGAGGCCTGGCTCCACCCCCATTCCGGCCACTGGGTCTCAGGTCAGGCTCCAGCAGGCCTGGAGTGGGGGTGTGGAGGCAGAGCCACCCAATCCCGTAGGGACAGGTTTCACAACTTCCCGGATAGGGCTGTGGTGGGTCACAGTGCAACCTCCAGCCAGGAGGATGGGGTGGCTCCCACTCCTGCTGCTTCTGACGCAGTGCTCAGGGGCCCCTGGTGAGTGCCCCCCACCCTGATCCCCATTTGCCTTCAGGAAGCGGTCATCCCTGGGCCCACTCTGCTATTCAGGCCAGGAGCTCACTTTCCTACTGGGCATGGAGCCAATGAATGCTCTTGGCTTCTTGTGCAGAGCTGGGTAGCCCCAGGAATACATCTGGACACTGCCTATTCAGGCCTGCATTAGAATGCCTGCATTAGAATTAGAATGTCTGCTGTAGCATTGAGGCAGTGTGGGAACCGCACAGATGCATGCGCACATCAGGCAGTTATCCCTCATGAGCCTAATCTAACCCTCTAACCTAGCGTATGCCCTGCTGCTGATGGGAGCCCAGACTTGGAGTCAGAATGCCTGGGCTGGGCCTCTGCCTGGGTAATAGGACAGCTCTGAGCCTTAGTGTTGCTGAGATGAAATAAGCTCCACAGGGCAAGCACCATCACCCACTGCTCTCATTATACTGTAGGTTTTAGACCTGAGCCTAGTGCCTTGCCTAGTAAACATGACCACTGGTGGTAACTAACATGTCTGGGCCTGCTTCTCCCCGTACAGGGGTCTCACCCTTGAACGTGCCCACAGGGTCCATCCCAGGGGCCTTGTAGCTTTGATCCCCTGCGTGAAGTGTGGATGTGCGGACATAAATGCACTGACGTGCACGCCCACCCCCGCAGGGCAGCGCTCGCCCTTGAATGACTTTCAGGTGCTCCGGGGTACGGAACTGCAACACCTGCGGCATGCAGTGGGGCCCGGGCCTTGGCAAGAGGATGTGGCAGATGCTGAGGAGTGTGCAGGGCGTTGCGGGCCCCTACTGGACTGCAGGTGAGTGACTACAGGACTTAGGTAAGACTGGGTGGCAGGTGAACCTGGGCGACCCTGTGCCTCGTCCTCCCAGGGCCTTCCACTACAATGTGAGCAGCCACGGTTGCCAACTGCTGCCATGGACCCAATACTCACCCTATACTCAGCTGAAACGTTCGGGGCGCTGTGACCTCTTCCAAAAGAAAGGTAAGTGGCTGTGGAGAAGGTGGGCCAGGGATAGGGCTGCTGAGGCCTCAGGCCTTGTTGACAATGGGTCTCTTCCTCCCAGACTATGTGCAGACCTGCATCATGGACAATGGGGTCAAGTACCGGGGCACAGTGGCCATCACCACTGGCGGCCTACCCTGCCAGCACTGGAGCCATAGGTTCCCCAATGACCACAAGTAAGACAGACACCTCCCCTCGGTCCCTGCCCGGCCCGGCGCCTGCCCCCACCCTAGCACGCATTGAATTGCTGCTCTCTGCCCCCAGGTACACGCCCACACTCCGGAACGGCTTGGAGAAGAACTTTTGCCGCAACCCTGACCGGGACCCCGGAGGTCCCTGGTGTTACACGACAGACCCTGCAGTGCGCTTCCAGAGCTGTGGCATCAAGTCCTGCCGGGAGGGTAAGCGGCTCTGGGTCGAGACTGGAGGAGCATGCCCACGCCCGTCCACGAACCCACCGGCCTGTCTTTCCAGCCGCTTGCGTTTGGTGCAATGGCGAGGATTATCGCGGCGCAGTGGACCGCACCGAGTCCGGACGCGAGTGTCAGCGCTGGGACCTGCAGCGTCCGCACGCGCACCCCTTTGAGCCGGGCAAGTACGTGTGGGCGGGCGCGGCATCGCGGGGGCCGGACTAGAGGAGGGCCCAGGACTCCAGGGGCGGGACCCGGGAATACGGCAGGGGCCACCCTGGGCCCGAGGCCCAGGGTCTTGTTCGCGCCCCGCTACCGCCCCCAGGTTCCTTGACAAAGATCTGGACGACAACTATTGCCGGAATCCTGACGGCTCCGAGCGGCCCTGGTGCTACACCACCGACCCGCAGGTGGAGCGAGAGTTCTGCGACCTCCCTCGCTGCGGTAGGGTCCGAGGGCGGGGCCTGGGAGGGCACCTGGGAAACGTGGGGGGCGTGGCCTGCCTGCGGAGAGAGGAGGGACTGGGCGTGACCCGGCGGTGGGCCCGCGGTAGTTGTACTCGGCCTCCGCCCCGGCCGCGGTCTCAGCTCCCGCTCGGGCTCCGACCCGTCCATCCAAGGGTCCGAGGCACAGCCGCGCCACGAGGCCACGACGCTCAATTGCTTCCGCGGGAAGGGCGAGGGCTACCGGGGCACGGCCAACACCACGGCCGCGGGCGTGCCCTGCCAGCGGTGGGACGCGCAGAACCCGCATCAGCATCGTTTTGCTCCGGAGAAATACGCCTGCAAGTGAGCTGGCGGGCCGCCGCTGGGGGGCGTACCTTTGCAGCTGGGACCTCAGGAGTGGGGTCCCGGGGCGGAGCTTGATTGAAGGTGGGGGGATCGCAGGGGGGCGGGGCTCCAGCCGGAGGCTGGCCGGCCGGTGGGCTGCGCCCCACCAAAAACTGAGAGGAGCGCCCGCCCAGGGATCTTCGGGAGAATTTCTGCCGGAACCCCGACGGCTCCGAGGCGCCTTGGTGCTTTACGTCGCGGCCTGGCATGCGCGTGGCCTTCTGCTACCAGATCCCGCGCTGCGCCGACGACGTGCGGCCCGAAGGTAAGGCCCAAGCTGGGACTGGGAGCTTGGAGCCGGAGGGCTGGGACGAGAACCGGCTGACGGCCGCCCCCGCCCGCCGCAGACTGCTACAACGGCGTGGGGGAGCGGTACCGCGGCTCGGTCAGCAGGACCCGCAAGGGCGTCCCGTGCCAGCACTGGTCTGCGGAGATGCCGCACAAGCCGCAGTGAGTCGGTCCGCGCGCCCGGCCCCTCCCGGACCAAGGCCACAGGCTCCCCTAAGGCGGCACGCCGTCACTTCTCTAACGAGCCCGGCAGGGGTTTGGGATTACCCTGCTAGGACTTTGCGTCCTCTCCCGCCCAGGTTCACACCCACCTCCGCCCCCCACGCGCATCTGGAGGAGAACTTTTGCCGGAACCCGGACAGGGATAGCCACGGGCCCTGGTGCTACACTACGGACCCGGGGACTCCGTTCGACTACTGTGCACTGCGGCGCTGCGGTAAGCGCGACACTCGCTCGGGGCCCGCCCCCCAGCCTCCACCTTAGAGGGCTGGCTCCCTCAACGCAGGTGAACTTGGTTTTTCAGATGATGACCAACCACCGTCCATCCTGGAGCCCCCAGGTATGCACTTGGGCCAGGCCTGGGTTGGGGCCTCTTAGGGGCCTCCATCCAGTCGGAGTTTCCCGAGGCCCATTCTATGCCCCAGACCAGGTGGTGTTTGAGAAGTGTGGCAAGAGGGTGACCCGCCTGGACCAGCAGCGCTCCAGGCTGCGTGTGGTGGGGGGCCAGCCTGGGAACTCGCCCTGGACAGTCAGCTTGCGTAATCGGTGAGGCACAACTGCCTCTCCTCAAGAGAGGAGCCGAGGGCATATCCTTATATCCTCTGCACTTATGCCTGGGGAGTGGGAACCTGTCCCTGGCCTCGGGGGTCTTAGCCAAGAGATTGCAAGTCCAGCCTGTGTCCCAGAACTCACTGTTCTCTCCTAACCTCTACTCCTTCAGGCAGGGCCAGCATTTCTGTGGGGGTTCCCTAGTGAAGGAGCAGTGGGTTCTGACCGCCCGGCAGTGCTTCTCCTCCTGGTGAGCCTTGGGTTTGGGGACCCAGTCCCATCCACCTGCCTTCATCTTCCCCTTAGCTACCTTTCCCAGGTGAGCCTTGGGGCAGCAGGCTATGAGTCACGACTGGTCTAGCAGAGCTTCTCCCCCAGCCATGTGCCTCTCATGGGCTATGAGGTGTGGCTGGGCACCCTGTTCCAGAACCCACAGCCGGGGGAGCCAGGCCTGCAGCAGGTCCCCGTGGCCAAGATGGTGTGCGGGCCCTCAGGCTCCCAGCTTGTTCTGCTCAAGCTGGAGAGGTGTGTGACAAGTCAAGAGGTGTGAGGTGGGGCTGAGCCTTGTGGGCTTACATGCTGAGCACCCTCATTCCCATTAAAGACCTGTGACCCTGAACCAGCGAGTGGCCCTGATCTGCCTGCCCCCTGAGCGGTATGTGGTGCCTCCAGGCACCAAGTGTGAGATCGCAGGCTGGGGTGAGACCAAAGGTAAGAAAGAACACCGTGCAGGGGCATGGGCTACCCCAGGCCAGGAGGCCTAGCCTCAGATCCTAC